TATTAGCCTGGGAATGCCATGCATCAGCCCTGTACTAGCTCCAGTGTTTGCGCGGTTATTTTCAAACTGCACAACAGCACGGTAACCCTGGCCGAAATGTTCGCATGGATTTTGAGACCAATCCATAAACGGCACCAAAACAATGATGACACACTATTCAACTTGGAGTTTCTTTAGGGATCCAACATGATGGCAGCAAATAAAGCTAAGTTTCACTTGCGCAATCGCAGTAGCCATTTAGCTCAATTGTGTACAAAATACACATGATTTGACTTTTTCGCTTGTTCCCTACTTGTCAAATTCAGTTACGTGACGATACATAATCGGGTAGAATTGATACGATTGGCGGTGAGCAGACAAATACAATAGACATTTGTAGCGCCCAATAAACAGTGATGGACATTCGTAAACTAATGAAATCGAAAATAGAAAATGAATGGACAGTTTCCAGACCACATATTGACTTGTGATATTTAGTCTGGTGTTAGCACAATACAAACTGGAGGAAAATATGCTTACTACAGTACATACACTTTCTGAGAATATTAACACAGACCAAGCTCTACACGGTGGGACAAAAGACATTCAAATAGTACCACATAGCAGCTGCTTCAACAAGAGAAATCTGCTGGACTGGCAGGATTATCTTAACAACAGCAGCAGGTAAACTAGGAGCTAGAAAGGTAAATAAAGAAGTCATTAAAGGACGAGCACAAATCAGGAGAAGAGCTAAAATTATGGGCGTAGGACAGATATCACATATCAGCAGAATTACCACTGCTACCAGGCTGATTCTGTTACTGTCTTTTCAGTCAATCCAGTACAGCATATTGTTCCTGTGCACAGTCACTTCTCTACTGTCACATGTGAGAGCCAATAGCAACAAGTCTCTGCTCCGGGAAACAGGATGCGATCATGTAACTCCAGCAGATGTGGATGCGACATGTGACCCTTCACCAGGCGTCACTCAGAAGGGGCTTTCCTCAGTTTTGGGCCAATCTGCCATCTGCTGTCAGTCTGATGTCACAAATACAGGCACAGGCCAAATACACAACACACAGAAAATAAGGCGAGCATTATACCCAAACAAAAGCTGGAGGGTGGGCTGATCTTAACGTTTGTACATTGTAAGGGCAGTTCAGATTATTATGTGCTTCATCTACTTTAAGATGATTAGTAAAGTTAGGTTGTAAGCTCTGTGGGACAGTCTAATCCTAATGTTTCCATTGTTTTCTTTTAATTATTATTATCACCGAGAATAAGTATCAATGTCTATGCCACAGATCTGGGCAATATGTTCAGAAGATACCAATGATACACATTTGAATAAAATGTGTCATAAATGCAGATTTTGTTAATTGCCACAGCAAAAGTCTGAAAAAAATCTGTGAAAAAGGGAACTCAACAATGTTCATCCTTTGTATACTTGAAAAAAGGGGTTGGAAGATTTATAAATATCTATAAATATTGAACTCAAAATCATTCCTATCTCCACAAACACCTACTAACCTGCATGTTAGTAGGTGTTTGTAATACCTGTAATACATCTTTCTTGCTCACATAATTACAATAGTTTTAGTGTTTTATAATTTGATGAGGACTATGTCTAATTTCCTATTTTTTGTCTATAACATCTGCTTTTATGAAACAATTCTCAAGGGAAAAACAGAAGTTAGAAAAAAGGTTTGTGCACCCCTGCTTTCTGAGGCCCAGGACCCCAAGGTTGCTTTCACCAGGGTATATGACTATTTCTACTTCTCATGCTTTTCTATGCATGTCATTATTGTTAGTATCCTGCATGGTTTGAATTCCACTGTGATGGAGATGATGGAGAGTAAATGCCTCAATTCATATACATTCTATTATATTTTCATACTGGTCTTCTATCCCCTAAAACATTATTATTATTAGTTGTATTATTTTTATATCCATAATTATTATGAATGCTTTTCAAAATATCTTTTGGCTACAATACTTGAAATGAAACCAAACTTGAGGTAGAAATTTGCTTCATGTTAGTTGTCGAACTCAAACCAAAGTTACCACCAACTCCCCACTGGCTAAAATAAATTACAGGGAGAACAGCACCCCTCTCCTTCTAAGCCTCTTTTTACTCTTCCTCTCTAATCGTAGGGAGAAGAGACCTGCCTTCCCACATCTGGCAGCCTTCATTAGAGACCCTGTTTATTTGGGACAACTATTACGGACACAGCCCATGGGAAAGAGCCAGCTCCTGCAAGGACCTAAAGGGAGCCAGTGTGTGTACATGTCTCGTAAGTCATAGCACCACTAATGACTAGAGCCACTGGCTACTTTACAAGGCTGGGAACCACTTAACTTTACAACTAGCAAAGGAACTGAACATGTAGTTAGACCCTCAGGTTGTTACTGTACATTTCAGTATGTCATGTGAGGAGTGCAAATCTATTAAAAGTGTTATACTATGCAACAAAAATTGGTAAGTATTAAACAGAACAAGCAATTGTTTGAAATGTGTGAGTTTCCTAATATGCAAAAGGTTAGTGTACACAACAAACTCTTGTTAAATGTGAAGCTGAATGAGCAAAGCCACAAGAAATTATGAAGTATACTGCTTTGTGGCAAGTGCTCACCCGCATAGCATTTATGAATGTAACCCACAGACAGGTGGTGAGTGTAAAAGTAAAAGCTGCAAGTTTGATTTGTTGTATGCCCATTCTCTAATACATACAAGCAATCCATGCATGCAAGCTGCTATCAAAATGTGATTTACCTTGGCATATGCCAACCAGAGAGGTTCAAATATCACTAATCCTCTTCATAGACTTCCACTCCACCATTGATAAAGTGCTCAGTACATCAACCCTGCACTAGCCCCAGCCAGACCCCGGCAAGAGGAACCCAACACCAGCACCAGTTCGGCATAAAAGGCCTGGTCTCAGTGTCTCTCGTTGTGTGATGATATGATCAGAAATTGCACCTTTTCTTCCCTCGGGCCACTCTGAGGCTGTTTCCTGACTCTGAAAGGAACTAGGAAAAGGGTGGGCTTCTTTGGGGGGGGTGATAGACTCATCTGATCATAGCAAACAAAAGTGCCATTGAGGGAAGCCCAGGATCACTGAGACAAGGACTGACTTTCATTTTAAGTTGTTTTTGAGAATCTACTGAAATAATTGATGAGCATACGTATAATTTGCAAATACAGAAGGCCCAGGCAAGTCTGCCTGCTGAGGTGGTGTGACCATTTGACCACAGCTCTAGATTATGGGAATTTCTAATGATAGTATTTTTGTTTGATGTGTACAATAACAGTATAAGGCTTGTTGTTGATGATTTTACAAATATTAAGACAATGGATTGCTCTTGTTTGCTGCCAGGCTACTGGAGTAAATGAAAGTCACTGTGAAGAGATTAACTTTTCTCAAGGTGGCACTGGACCAGATCAGACATGACAAGATGGTATTTGTGGTATGGAATGTTTAGTTGGCCCGTCTGACCAAATATAAATGACAAACATTCTCGTACTTACTTGATCCAAACCAAACAACGGACACATGAAAAGACTGATTGAGATGAAAAAATATGTAAAGACATAAGAATTCTATGATAAAAATAGACATTATGATTTGTATGGTACAATTGCCAGTAATAACTAATTTACTATATTCTAGTTCTCATTCAAATGTATCATGGAACTATATCTTTAATGAGTGAATTCTTTGTTACAACTAGGGCTGGGCAATAAATTGAATTTTGGCAATTAATCGGCTTTTGAAAAAATCGAATTCGTGAAAAATTAGAAAATTGTGAAATCGAATGAGCGATATTGTGAGAGTTCCAGCAGCACATCAATTACACTTGCAATATCAGCACAGTCTTTACAAGACTTTTATGATATGTATTGGGGGAAACAAATAAAAAATAGTTTTGAAACTTAAATATTGAGCGGGAAGATAAAAATATTTTAAGGGCAAAGTCTGTCTTGAGTGACTAATGAAATTCGATTTAAAATCGACATCGTCCAAAGCAGGAAATAAAATCGAGATTTTCCTTTTTTGCCATATCGCCCAGCCCTAGTTACAACTAATGGCTAATGGCTTGAGTTGCATTAATTACGCCAAACAGAGAAGCCCCCAAAGACAATCGATTGTTAATATTAGTGTTCCCGCTAAAATGATTTAAACTGGCAATGGAGTATGCCTCATAATTGTCTCCAAGAGAAGGAGGAGAACAGTGAGGGGCACAATGATGGCTTTGTGGTCTAGTGAAGAGGAGGAGGAGAAGGAGGGGTGGGATGTGAATAACATTACCGGGCCGAAGTAAGATGTGGCGGGAGGCCAAGATGAAGAGCTGAAGTTCTGCCCCAAAAAAGTTTAATTATTGGACTCCAGTAAGTTGACACTGAGCAAAGACACTCATGCCATGTCAGAAATAGCATTGACACAAGCACAAGCTATTGTTTTAAACCAAGTTCCAGGCCAGGTTGACACTAAATTCTTTCTAGACACCCATAATCCATTCACAACAATAAAATGCACACCTTTTCCCACCTAAACATATAAACAACATATTTTCTGTCTAGCGGAATGTGAGACAGGGAGCACTGAGGGCCACTGGGACAAAATCCCAAGAGAGGGGAGGGGTAAGAGCGAGGAGGTCCCAGTCAGAGGGTCTCTCTGGGAAGCCTCACCCAGATTAGTCACACAGAATTAATCGCAGCACAGAACAATGGCAGCCGGGCTTCTGGCAACCCCAGCTGTCGCTCGGCACAAGAAAGGAAAACATGGTTAGAGTCGGCCGTGAGAGCTGGGGTCCAGACACACACTCTCCCACACTGACCTCTGTCCTCATCAATATCTACTCACTTCTGACCAGTGGCTCCCTGAAATAGCCACACTGAGCTGAGAAGTCACCCTCTGCAACCTTCACATGTCAACCATAAATCTGAAACATCTACAATATTTCTATACTTTTCTCTCATTTGTCACATCATTTGAACGAGGCCAGAAGTTTTTACTTACTTGCATTCACCAAGTCCATCAGGAGTCCGCTCACAAGACCCCTGGTTCAAACACTTCTCTGTGGGTATGAGGCATCTTTGGCCTGGAAACAGAGACATTTATACCAACTTTCAAAACTTTTCAAAATCAGAAACCGTGACAAAACACAATGTGCCAAATATGTGTTAATCTTTGGGAGATTCTAAATGGGTAATGTATAGTTCTGCAAACATGAGCAGTAGGTGTGACTTATGTCACCTGAAAGTATATTTTTTTCTGAGGCATGAGACTTGACAAGAGTGTGGTAGGGCCATGCACTTCAGGCAGTTGGACCTAAAGAATGCGCTTCTTTGCCAGTAGCACAATTTTGTGAGAATATAAAAAACGCCACTCTGCATCCAAAATGGAAAGGCATGCGTTTTCATACAAGTGAGAAAAGTGGATTGTTGGCAGAGCAATGATTTGGCTAACCTGAACTATATGAGTAAGGAACGAGGGCACAATATCCAAAATAAAAAGGTGACGCTAACAGGTGCGTAAAGGCCAAGGCACGTGTTGCACAAACATCCCAAGTTTATTGTCTGTTTTGAACGAAAAGTCCAAAAACATTATTAAAACATTCTTCATCGGAAAATGACAAACTGTAGAAGTATGTTTTTTAGCCTATATGAAGCCTGGGTGTCTTCTTTTAATAGACTAGTAGTTGTTAATATTTTAGTGGCTTTATTTCATATTTAGTACAGCTTTGAAATCGTTCCGCCACTCACCTCGAGTCACTGCTAACAACGACCACAATAAAGTTAGTTGAACAAACAAAATATGCATTCCTTCTGCTTTAGAGGAGCTTTACAAATCCACACGAGTTTGCTCATAGATCCGAAAGATGTCTTCCTTTAAAATAAATAAATATATGATCACAAAAAGTTCATCCTCCTGTAGATCCAAGTGGGAAGCGTGCGCGGTGTTGTCACTTGTGTTTCTGAGTTCAGAATGACTTTGGGACAGTCTTCAGCTCAGCCCCCTGCTTAGGGGCGGGAGTCCTCCAGGACAGAGCCTCACCGCTGTGCATGTGCCATGTGCATGTGCCATGTGCATGTGCCATGTGCATGTGCCATGTGGATGTGCCATGTGCATGTGCCCGCGTAATTCGTACGTTATAACTACTGAGAAGTTTATTTGAGGTACTAGGCTGAGTTTGATCATTTATTTGTTTGCGTGTTTGCTACATCTATAGCCGAGAAGCCACGATGTAAATCCTGTTTAACTAACTACATTCTCTCAGTGCGTCCTCAGCCCTGAGCTGACTGGTTCCCACCACTAGTTCTGAGTATGTTTCAGATGCGGGATCACAATCAGCAGAAACAGCGACATTCAACAGGTGTGTTTTTAGTACACGTTTTCTAAACATGTATGAAGCTGGTGTGGAAACTGTTGATCAATGGTCCTTTCGCACAGGCCAATAAACCCAAGTGTCATCTAAATCCATGCCTATTGATAGACATAACAGCACAGTGTACATGGGTGTACCATGGATCTATAATAATAACTTTAGCCTTGTCGTGCAAGGCTTATTGTGATGGTACCCAAAACACACAGATTTTACTTCCATTAAAGCTAAACTATATGTTCATTTATTGCCAGAATGTACAGTATTTAGTTTGATGTTTGTGCCCTTGTTGATTTATGATGATTTATTCACAAACTTACATGATAGTGATCTCTAACTTTATGTCCTTCATTTTCAATGGACTTGCATCTCCACAAACTAGACACGTCCTGCTGGTTTTTGCTGGGAGTTGTAGTTCCCGGAAAATTGTTCCTAGTACAATATAAAAGGTACCTATTTCCATGGATGATGTTTGCAGCATGTTTAACACTTCAGTTGCATGAGATCAAGTAGATGTCACCTCCACAAAGTAGCATGCTGAGGCTTATTGTTACAATTATTGAGAAAGATCAAGGAACATGAGAATTGCCTAAAATATATATATATTTTTTTTTATCCAGTTATGTTGCCAACTATCTGCATTTTAACATGAGATTGAATGTATAAAAGAAATAAAAACGGGCACATCTGCCAGCATGCAGTAATGCTAAACAGAGCATTAGAAAACATGTAGACGTTTGTCCCTCAGGGCCGTACAACACAAAGAGCATGTTGCTACATGTAAACTATATCAGACAATCGGTTCATTGACGGGAGTCAAGACAACACTTTCGATTAAGAGGAAATGTATGTTAATGTCATATTTTTCAACATAATACCATAATCAGCTTAGCGATTTAGCCCATTTAAAATAATAATTACACTGACACATTATCACAGCTCTGATCCTAATCTGACAAATGATCATTTGAATGCTTGCCCTGTTGTTGAATAGATACAGTTAAAGGCAATTGTATAATGAATAATTTAAATTGAAGCAGATGACTTTACATTGATCATGTTTGCTTGTTTTTCCTTCCTCATCCATCTCAACTGACTCCAAAGCCATTTTACTGACAGAATGTTGTGTATCACAATATATCTGCTGGAGGGTACATACATTTTACAGTACACCACTTGTCTTCTTTTTTTGTAGCGCCCCAGTCTGTGTGTGCCTCTCCCCATCCGTATTATCCAATTGCCGTAAGTATGTCAGTTTTATATGTTTCAACAGAGCAATGGGTACAAATGTAAATAAGATGAATTAGCTATGTTGTGTTTGACTAAAACTTCTTTTCAGGGTAAGGCTGTAAACTTTTCACAATCAAATCAGGTTTCAATTAGCATATAGCAAATAATGTATTTCTTATTTTCATTATTTTCATAGGCACTAAATAAAGAATATAATTATTATGAAAATCAGAAACTGTCATGTCTGACATTGTTGTGTTGTTGTCTGAAGTAAAAAGGTTTGTTGTTGTCATGTCTTTTAAAGTATGTATAGCCAAGGATTGTGATGATCCAAAATAAATTATGATTAATGTGATCTGATGTCGGCCACAATTGAATATTGGACTTTCATATTGCACACATACACACCATTATAAAATGACGTAATCATTTGCATTTATTAATTGGACTTATTGACTTTAAACATAATTATCCCCTGTGTTTTGAGCAGATGGCAAAGCCTCTGTTAATAGGTTGAGCATTGAACCTGCACTCAGGCTGGTGGATTTTGACCCCAGACCAGCCCTGATCTTATCAATGACACTGACGGCAGTATCACTTTCCTCATTGACTTCTTCACACAAGCGCCTCTCCCCAGTGATCAGAGATGGTTCAAGGCGGCACTTCACCTGAGAAGAGTTCAATCGCCGGCGTCTTTTCATTTTATGTGGCTGGCCATTGTGTAGTTGTGCAGTGTTGCAGGGGAAACATGTTTATTGTATGACATTGTGAGGTGTGGAGTAAACAGGATTTGTGTTGATTTCCTCTTCATTGTGTCGACCTGGGGGTTGGGGGCCGTGCACTGGCACCGTCCCACAGATGGAATGACCTGTCCCAGACGAAAAAACACAAACAGCTGCTTACAGTCGGATCAGTAAAACCAGATTTGGCACACTGTCCTCTATAATCACGCATCAATAGATTGAATCATGCAAGCCTTAAAAAATTATTACTGTCAATGTCATTACCAATCTTACTATTACTTATTGTAGTGAGATTTAAAATATTCATGTCTTTTACACTTTTTCAAATATTAAATTCCTAGGATGTAAAATTTTCGATGAAAATAATTTTGTTCATTTTCAATAGTGAAAAAAAATGATTTAATGAACAACTTCCAGCTCTGTGTCACGGGTGTCCAAACCTTTTAGTAAGAGGCCACTTTAGTTCAACAGACTTGTCCAGGGGCTGACATCCCGGATTATGATATTTTTAAATGGATTCATGCTGTTCTGTGCTTAAATCCAGTTGGCTAAAGGGTCACTTTCCTTGTGGGCCACTTTCCTTGGTCACTTGAACTCTTACTGTGTGGGGCTGCTACTGAACATGTCAGACATGTAATTTGGCCCTGTTGTATATAAGAGCATGATGTATGTTTGATTCCATTGCAGAAGATAAATACATTAGACACTGTGGTGGATGCTCCTTCAGAAAAGTTACACATTGAAGATGCTTTGTAGAAAATGCATTGAACAATTAAATGGTTTCAACAACTCCATGATGTGACGCATACTATATTGTTGTTTATTCTCTAAAGTTTGAGAGCATATGGAGCCATTTTGACATTTATCAACTTGTATTTCTATTTATGACTTCCTGTCACATATACTTTTAGGCTTGAACGTGAAATCACTGTTCTGTGGTTCACATCCACCAAGGAGACTCAGCACACCCAAGAGGAGGAAAATAGGCCATTGTATTGCACTGGTATTATTTCCTTAGTGTTTCAGGCACAGATTAATGCATCCTCATGTGGTGGTATTGTTCTTCTTTAAGACCAGGGTTTGTAGAAATATTGGGGACCCTTCTAAGCCCCAAGGACAGGAAATGCAGGCTCCTGCTTTCCGGCACTAGGAAGGAGGTGGTTTTTTGTACTACACATACTGTACTTGTGTACTTACACATACTTCTTGTACATTAATAGTTTTATCAAGATATGATACAATTATTTGCCAAGGTAGAAGTGATTCAGTGCTTGGACATTTTGCAATTGTATTCTTGGACCATTCACTTTTTGCTTGATGTTGTGCCGTGTGAAAAAATCGTATAAAAGTTTACTAAAAAAAGGTATAGGTGTAAGTATTTTTCATATTTTTGGTGGAAATTGTTCTAATAAAAGTTAATCTATGTGATTCTTGATACTTAAAGGTATTTAGGGAGATGTTTGGTCCACAAAATAATGTGATAATACATACAGCAATGACTGTCATTTATAATACACTAATATAATATTATATTATGTGTGTGTGACATATATGCAGTCTTTGAAAGTAAAATGTCTTTGTGGTGGCATTAGGGCTGCAATCATTAATAATGCACAATATTGTAATTTTCAAGTTATTTTTTTCAAATATATATATATATATATATATTTATTTATTTTTTATTGTCCACTCACCTTTTACCCTCCGCGGGCGGTTATCCCTCTCTAAGCTCGGGTCCTCTACCAGAGGCCTGGAAGCTTGAGGGTTCTGCACAGTATCTTTGCTGTTCCTAGCACTGCACATTTCTGGACCGAGATGTCAGAGGTTGTTCCAGGGATCCACTGTAACCACTCTTCTAGCTTTGGGGTCACTGCCCCGAGTGCACCGATCACCACGGGCACTACTGTCACCTTTACCCTCCAGGCCCTCTCCAGCTCCTCTCTGAGACCTTGGTAAAGCTTTTCGTGTTCTTTTTTCCTGATGTTACCATCGCTTGGAATTGCCACGTCCACCACCACGGCTTTCTTCTGCCCTTTGTCTACTACCACGATGTCAGGTTGGTTCGCCATTACCATTCGGTCGGTCTGTATCTGGAAGTCCCACAGGATCTTCGCACGCTCATTCTCCACCACCTTTGGAGGAGTTTCCCACTTAGACCTTGGGGTTTCCAGCCCATACTCTGCACAGATGTTTCTGTACACTATGCCAGCCACTTGGTTATGGTGTTCCATGTAGGCCTTCCCTGCCAGCATCTTGCACCCTGCAGTTATGTGTTGGATTGTCTCAGGTGCCTTTTTGCACAACCGACACCTTGGGTCTTGTCTGGTGTGGTATATCTGGGCCTCTATCGCTCTGGTGCTCAGGGCCTGCTCCTGTGCAGCCATAATGAGTGCCTCTGTGCTGTCCTGTAGGCCAGCCCTTTCTAGCCATTGGTAGGACTTCTTGAGATCAGCCACTTCTGTTAT